GATACTGGTACCCTATTTCACTACACAACTGTCCAGTACAAGCCCTGAAGACTGCTTTAGTAGCCACTCTCTCCAATATGAATTAAGTAAATCTATTTTTAGTTTTAGCTTCAACAGATCAACTTGGCTTGAAAGTGGCCTATAGGAAGGCTGCCAGGCTTCAATTGGAAGATACAAATTTGTGAGAAACTCTTATTAGAAACCCTGTTCGACAGCCATCTGCTCAGAAATTATATGAATAGTCTATCGAGTCATAGATTATAGCTATAAGAGGCTGTCTGCAGTGTCCTAACAGAAATCTCCAACCTTACCTTATGAGTCATGTGTAGTTGTTTCCACATTTAACAGGGCTAATATTGGACAGCATCCTTAAAAGGATCTCATGGCACCCTGGTTGAGACTTACCACCTTAGAGACTAACTGGGTCAGAGTCATAAACTTTTGTAAGCAACAGCCTACTTTATGAACCAGTTGCTCTCTAAGGCCACATCCACACGAGCAGGGGTGTACGTGTGCAGCAGCACAAATAGTAGCAGCACAGATTTGTGGCACAAAGCAGTGGCACAATGCACGCCCCCGCCCGTACGCTTTGCAGTGGGACACATTGTCCTGCTGCTCCATGTGCTGCAGGAGGGGCTAGCTGGGACACAGGGTGCCTCAGTGCAAGGGCTAGCTAGCAGGAAGCTCCCAAGCTGAGGTACCCTGTGTCCCAGCCAGCCAGGGGAGTGGCATGTGGAGCAGGCACCTTGGGCTGCCTGCTCCTCCATCTCCATGTGCTGTGGAACCCCCACATTGAGGTATCCCTCACCCCACAGCCACTCCTGCCTGTGGTGCAAGATACCTTGAGATGGGTGGGCAGGTAGCCCTAAGTTGGCTGCTCCCGTCTCTACATGTCTCAGCATGGGGGCTCAACTGAGGCGCAGAGATGGGGGAGCAGGCAGCCCTGGTCTGGCTGCTCCCCCATCTTGAGGTACACTGAGCACCAGCCAGATGCTCTATGGCTGACTGGGGCACAGGGTGCCTCAGCATGGGGGCTCCACAGTAAAGCCTCTGAGCTGAGGTATGCAAAGACAGGGTAGCAGCCAATCCACAGCTGCCTGCTCTCTTGTCTCGTGGCTGGCTGGATTGCAGAATGCTTCAGCACAGGGGCTCCACAACTTTCAGACATGGAAGAGCAGGCAGCCCTGGACTGCCTGCTCCCCTGTCTCCACATTTTTCCCAGGTCATGCTACTTTGGCATGCTTTGCACCACCTTTTTTCCCTGGGCTTGTTTTTTTTGTTTGTTTTTTTTGCTACCAGGAAATCCCAGTAGCAAATTTTGTCCCAGCACTGCAAATTAATAGTGCTGTGCACCATTTAACATGCAACACATGTGATTTGTGGCGCTGCAAAACGTCCGCGACTCCGCAAGCCGAACATTCCTGCACATCTGGATCCGGCCTAAGCTGCCACCCTTGGTTGCCTTCTGCCAAAATTACACAAGTAAGAAAAGAGGTAGTTGTCAAGGGGCTGGCCACAGAACAAAGAGAAGGGGGAAAAAAGTGACAGGTAAAGGATCTGCTGGAGAAACTGAAGCCACAGAAGTCTGCAGCTTCCTGCTAGCTAGCCCTTGCACTGAGGCATCCTGTGCCCCAGCCAGCTTGTTACCACCAGTTGGTGAGGGTTTGAATACAACAGACATGCATGTATTTTTTTTTTTATTGAATTATAATCCTTTTATGTTTTGTTCCTGCTGTGAAGCTTAAACAATGCTTTGGTTATAAAATATCTGCCAGACTTACAAGTGTCAAACAGGCCAGTCTGCAAGTAATCCCAGCTGGCATAAAGGGCATTCCAGCCTGAGGGGACAACCCCAGGATTCTCCCACCAATACAGGTAAAAGCACAAGATTCAATACTTGACAGAGGCCAGAATAGGGTCAAAACTGAAGCCAGCCCTGTAATTCTGAAAACTTAGAGTAATTTCTGTATCAAGCCCCAAGCAACTGCTCTTTGAGCTCTAGCATTTAGCGAAGAGTACTCAAAGCCTTACCAATAAAATTTCCCTAGATGACGACTTCTTCAAAGTGTAACTTTTAAGTTTCAGCAATTTATGATGTGAAGAACACCTTGAAAATAGTATCTCTAGCATTCTGCTGCTCATATCTATTTAAAAATTAGATCTCAACTTACCTGTGATATAGAAAGTACAAGTGAAAGAAATTCCCTAAGTTATTTCAGTACTAATACCATTCACTGTTAAAAATGTGAAACTTATTTCTAGTCTGAATTTATCTTATTCTACAGTCATGTACAAGATCTTCTTGTATATTTTTCTGTTAGATGATATTTCCCCATGGAGAGTCACTGCCTATGAGCACAAGTCACCACCTAAACTTCTTGGATACTATAAAATTTACATGTTAAAATTTTATGGCAAGTAAAACAAAAAATTTTACCAAAATGCTATATCAGCTTTTGACAGATGTAGCCTTTTTTTGTAAATAAAGAAAGAATATTCAATTGAAGTAAATATGAATGAATAAATGTGAAGGTGGGATGTGAGGAAACAAGGAAGTTTATTTTCCTTTTTCAGGTATGAATATAAACCAGAGGAGGGAGACAGATCTAGTTCTAAAGTCCAGATGAATAGAGGCAGTTCAATTAGCCAGCTACAAATAAAAAGTTGCCTAAATTTTAAATAGACATTTTTAGCTTGTCCCTTTTGGTATAATTAGCATGGTTTTAATTTAAACTATTAAAAATAATTTAAGTGAAAACCTAAACTACATTAATTTCAGTTTCTCTTCAAAAGCCGCTTGACATAAACCTGGAGGAAAAGCTATAATAAAAACTGAAAATTAAGACTTGCTTACATCATAGATTCATAGATGTTAGGGTTTGAAGGGACCTCAATAGATCGAGTCTGACCCTCTGGAAAAAAGAGGGCAGGCAGCAATTTGAATCTCTGTCCCAAATGAATTCAGCCAAATTGAAACAGGCCCCATCCGTTGCCCACTCCCAGACCCATCAATGGTTGCCCCGCCTGGCCCCAGTGTCCTGACAAGAAAAAAAAATCCTGCAGTCACTGGCTGCTGCCAGTCTGGGGCAGGGTGGGGAAAGGTACAATCCCCACTGTCCCATGCTGTATGGGGGGGCTCTGCCACAAGCCCCCCAGAAGCCCCGATGGCCATTGCAGCAACCATTGAGTGCAGGACTTTGTTTGTTTTTAAAGAGCCAGGACACCAGGGCTGGGCAGGACAGCCATTGACAGGGTTGGGAGAGTAGGTGGTGGATGGGGGCTCATGGCAGAGCCCCCACACAGCACAGGGCAGTGGGGATCACCCCCTGCCTGGCAGGAGCTGGTAAGTGAGGAGCTTTCCCCCCACTCTTTTTAAAGTGTCAGGACACTGGGGCCGGGCGGGGCAGCCATTGATGGGGATAGGGAAGTAGGTGGGGGTTGGGGGGTGCTCAGGGGGTCTGAGGGAGCAGGCAGGGGATGGGCCCCGACAGGTCTCCACCTATGGTCCCCTCCCTCCTCCTCCAGGCCCCGCCATCTACTTACCAGCACAGAGTCCAGGTCCAGCTCCCTGCGGCAGTGAGCAGGGACTACCCGTATCTCTGAATCTTTTCTAAATCAATTCAGGGAGCTTTGAATCAATTTGGACCTTTTTATTGGTCTCTTGATTCGATTTGGAGATTTGGCCACCAAATCAAATCAGCACCCAAAGCTTTGCACGGCCCTAGCAGTTAATACCATCTCTATACCTCATATGAAACTGGTTATCCAGCACCACCCACCCACCCACACCTATGCCACTGCATTCCAAGATCACATAGGCCAAAAATCTAAGTTCTTTATTCCTAGGTGCAGGACCTTGCACTGGGTTGTATTTATATTGTTCAAACTGTTCCCCCTTACCAAGCCATCATCAAGATCACTATGTAGCTAACTTATAGATGTTTCCATAGTTGTTCTTGGACTTAAGTCAACAATTCTAGGTTTTCTTCCTGGTCAAGGATAAGGTAACTATCATTTTAAATCCATTTAACACATTTATTTGCATACCAGATACAACTTCCCTCCCAAAATAGCTACTGAAAATTGGGATGCACGTCATAAATAAGAAAGCAATAGTTTGGTTTTAAAAGCATGATCGTGCATAGCAGGTGATGCTAGTGTCATTACTTCATGTAGGCATACCAAAATTTCAGTCATACACCCATGTTATCTCTACAATTGTCAAGTCAGTCCTGCAGCATACAAACGTGCTATCATGAGTAGAACAGCAGTTTTATGTATTTTTTACTTGTTACATTAAATTACTTCTATGCAAGTAAATTTCTTTTCATTCTGCCCTCAAAAAAAGGCACTAGTCTTATTTGGGGGCATATGGTATGTAAATAAATACAGTATTAAAGAAATGCATTACTTTTGGTTAACTGACAGCCAAAGTTTGCCAATTGGCTGCATAATCTATTTTGTATGTTAAATAATCTTAACAAGTACAGTTAATGATTACTCAGTTATATATAAAACGATAGTGAATTTCTCATGTCAAAATCTATAAGCATGAGAGATTTTAGGTTTCCCACCACAGCTTGCATTAGTGTTCTACTGTATATAGTACATTATGACTAATCTTTGCTGTGAAAAAATACTGAGTGTGGAAGAATTGGACATGGTGCTCATGTCTTAGCAATAACATCATAATTGAGATCTTTCAATCCAATATATTACTAGGTCTGGCTCCAACCTCACTTTAGAATCTACTGTATATGGAAGAATCACAAAAGAAGATACTGTACAGGGAAATGTTAAAGTGTTCAACTATAGTAGTTATTTTGTGTATTAATCTCTCACTGTGATTACTTATTTAAAAATGTACAAGTCATCAGTTTCTTTGCTCTCCCTGCTAATTTGCAATTTCAACTCAATCCTCTTGATAGTATTTATAGCAACCCCTACACAACCAGTTGAGATGCTAGAAAATAAGCGAAGACTAACTTCTAGTAGTTTACCTGTCTTTGATGGTCCAGATCTGCTTTGTTACCAACTAAAATCATAGGAAATTCATCACGGTCTTTCACTCTAAGAATCTGCCTTTGAAACTTGTAGATTTCTTCAAAGCTGAAAAGAGAGGAAGATGTCAATGTACTATTACATGTGCTCTGAAGCCATGGTATCATAGGCAGGCCCCTCAGATTGTATGTTTACATGAAAGGAGGAGCAGCAGGTGTCAATTTTCATTTCATTGCAACACAGGGCATACAAAAATTAGAGAATTACCAAGCTTTCACAAAACTAAATTGAATCTTTACACAAGTTGGTGATATAGAATTTAGAGGACCTGCGCTGACTTCCTGGAGTGGGAGTCAGCAATGTTTTCCAGTAGTGGCCACTTTCACGGAGCTTAGCTCCAAACACTGGATGCTTCCAACCCAGCCCATACTGCCAGAGCTGGAGCCAGAGTCCAAATCCAGATCTATTAGGCCCTGCTGCCCACATCTATTGCTGCCACTACCGTGTGGACAAAGCCCCCTGCTACCAAAACCCCATTTCTACAGGCCAGCCAGGGGTGCTTGCCCACCCCTGTTTGGTTAAGTACAGACAATCAAAAAGCCCAAGGTTGAATCAATTCAATCTTCACAGGTTAGTCTAAGTTGCATAGCTTAACTCATAAGCAAGTGAAGAGACATTCATTATGATTCTGGAAGGGTAGCCAAACATCTGCAGTGGCCCAGCCCATAAGTTGGGGCACACTAGAACATGTCTCCCTACTTGGCTGGAGCAGACTGCTTGGGCCAAGCCTAGCCCACCCACCCTGTGGGGAGGGGGAGCTTGTGGGGGAGGTGCAAAGCATCCTGGGATGCTGGGGGACTGAGTTAAGTTGAGCTGAGGGGATCCAGGGCAAAAGCTCAATAAACCAATTTAACCTAACTCAGTTAAGTCTGATACTACATCCACCCAGGTTCATCTTAAACCAGTTTTGGCCATTTGAAAGCAGTTTACACGCACTGAACTTTTGTTATGCGATAGATCTGAACTGGTTTCGGATCACTTATACCAGTTTATGTGCAACTTCTGTCCCTAGCCTTTGAGAACCACAAAGAACATGTACTGATCAATATGATAGGGATGGTACAGCTTCTGAATTTTCTTAATATGAATGTCTTGAGTTCCTGAATCTTATCTTAATTTTTGGTTCAACCTTAATTCAAGTCATTATCGTCAGAAACAAACTGAGTGAAAAGTATCTCCTGAAATCAGGAGGGGCTTCCTGCCTCCATTTAGGCAGCAAAGGCATTTTGTTAGTTTCCATAAATAGTTATACAGAAAATTAATTCCGTTCTTCTATGGCCAGAGCCCACAGGAAAACTTAACATTTAGAATAAAAAAGCAGAGGTCAAGACTTCCAGGAAAGGAAAAGAGCAATAAATATCAGTGGTGGGGGAAAGGAGAGGGGAAGGAGTAAAATTTAAGAACTGAATCCAAGCACCCAAAATCAAAATTCCCAGCCAAAATATGTAGCCTTATAAACAAAAGGGATGAATATTATTTCAGCTAGTCTCATCCAAAAATCCAAGCAGGCCTCCCAATGTAGCTTCCAGCTACTTCTGACCATTAACTTTGTTCTTAATTATAAAAAAGTTTATCCAGTTAGGAAAAGCTATTTCCTGGAAGCACAGGAAAAGGGGAAGCATTCAACTGGCCAATAAGGGCACAGTTTCCTGCCTGCAAGATAAAGGCAAGGGCAAGAACAGGGCAAATTAAAATTGGACCTGGGAACCATGAGCCTTTAGAAGAGAGCATGTTCAAGCGGCTGAGCAGCAGCAGAGCAAAGAGTAAAGAGAAAGAAGCTGCCTTAAGGCAATGAAAGAAGAGGCCAAGCAGAGCAAAGAACTGTGCTACCAATCAAACTTTGTTTATACAAGGAAATATTTATGTTTATAAGTCATACTTTTGCTTTCATAAATTCAGCTGTATGAAATGTTTATTCTGTTGGGAGCCTGGTATAAGTGGCTCTCCAGCTACAGATGCTGAAAACATCTGCATGTCATTTAAAACTTGGGCAGAGTGAGCCTAAACCACCATGCTGCCGAAATCAGTGCCTGGAGCCAGAAATCTATCTACATATGGTCCCAACTTAGCTAATATTCAAATAGCTGGACCAGTGTTCACAGCAGGTATTCTTTGGAAAAATGCCTCCCCTCAGAGGGGAGGGATCCAGTTGATGTCACCCACAGAAACAAACCATTGGGAGAAGTAAACTGTCAAGTACACCTGAGGTTACTGCTGCTCTGCTCAGAGATTGGTGATGGTTGTGGGTTGGGTACACGCAACTCTGCTTTCCAGCAGCAGTAAGATAAATTACTGCTAATGCTTATGTTCCTCCCTGGATCAGATCCACTTCTCTACCTAGGCCCACCCTGACCTGGAGCCAGTACTAGGAGAAGGTACAAGGAATCTTGTATCAGGCTGTTATGAAAAAAGTCTAGGTCTCTTCCCATGTCTTTATATAGTTAGAATGTGATGTAAAGCAAGCCCTGAAACATGGTGTTAAAGGCACTGCCTTTATTAGATGGCAAGCAACAGTTCAGATCTGCTAGCCACACCAAGTCTCCATGACAACTTTTAAGATCCTCCTAAATTTAATAATAAAGATGCTGTTGCTCTATGAAGTTTTTGCTACAACATATCCTATTGGGATAAAGCTCCATGAGAGGGAATTGTGTATTCCAGCCACAAAGCTATGGCATCAGTTGTCATATCTGTTAACAGCTACACAGTAGAGCCCTGACCATTTAGTACCAGGTGGTCTGCAACCCAATTCCTTCACACCAAGTTGCTAAATTAAAAAAAACAAGTCACTCAGCTGTTTGCTGCAGCTTTTAATTCAGTTCCATGCAGCTGATCAGATAAGCTGTGCCTTTTGAAATAGAAGCTGCAGCAACCAGCTGGAGTAGCTCTGCATTTCTATGCAGCCATTTCCTGCAGCTACAGCTTGATTCATTTATTTACTTCTGTCAGACACACTGACATAGACTTGCTAGTGTACAAGCACTCATCTTTGTGAGGGCTGGACATCCTTGGTTAGGTTCTGTAGATCTTACTGTACCAGATAGGATTATTGTAATAGTTACTGATGCAAACAAGTGGTTTTAGACTGAGCTCCAAGATACGTTTTCATATATTTTCATATTAGACTTACCTTCCTCTATCTGTGACAGAAAAGACAAGCAGAAAGCCCTCCCCTGTCCTCATATACTGCTCTCGCATGGCTCCAAATTCTTCTTGTCCTGCTGTATCTAGAACTGAACACATGTAGAAGACTAGTTACCCACAAGCATAACAAATACTAAAGAAACCGATATAATGCTCCCTTTTTTTTTTATTCTCAGATTTCACCATTCATGGGGGATACGAGAACATATCCCCCGTGAATGGTGAGGGTCACCTGTATCAGGATTTTCTCTTCTTCTGAAGGCTACATACTGCAGGATTCCTGCTCATGGATCTTAGCTTTTTAGAAAAAAAGTGGGAGGACTCTAACAAGTGATGAATTTTTTATGGTTGGCTTCAACTTTAGGGCACAGACCCAGTAAGAAGAGGCTGCATAAAATCAGATCTGAAGACAAGGAGCAACAGAAGGCCTACTCTATCACGGATTAGTTTATAGCAGGCAAGTGTACCTGGAGGAATCTTTTCAAATAGATTTCTAACAGGGAACTAAGGGTGGAATCAGGCATCGCCCGACATCTCATTTATGCCACCATAAAAGTTTATGGCGGCACAAATGCTGAGCAAACACATCGGTACTCTTTATTACGCCAGATAAACGAAAAATCAGTGGCATAACAAGAGGTGGTAACAGATTCTGCTGCTTTATTCCGGTGGACATCCATTAGTTCTTCAGCAGAAGAGTACAAGCTGCCTGAGCTGCTTGCACTCTCCTGCCGTGCTGGCAAGGGCTCTGCAGGTTTGAGGGGTCCTCAAGCCCCCAGAACACTTGCCACTTTGCCCCCGCTTAGAAGCACACCCCAGGGAATTTCTGGATACCTCTCCATAAGCAGGAAATTTTGGGATTCCCTAATCAGCCAGACCCAGGACACAAGTCTGGCTGAGCAGGGAGAGTGGGACTTTTCCTGTCCAGGCAGACCCACAACCTTGGTGTGGCTGGGTAGAGAAAAGCCCCAGTTTCCCTGCTCAGTCACACCTGTCCCCAGTGATCGCTAGGGACAGGTCTGGCTGAGTGGGGAAAACAAGGAGATTACATCACCCCTTGGCCTGCACCATCAAGGGTGGGACAAAGGACAATGTATGCTTCACCCAAGGAAGTAGCTCAGCTGTGCCACACTGATCTGTTTTATTCAGCAATATATATTTCTAGCCCTAGGCAGAACATTTGGAAGGCAACATTTATACCCTGCATAGGTGGCAAGCAACCAGTACATGACTTCACTTAAATGAACTCCACTACCTATAAATAAGGGTCTACCCAATTCGAGGCAGCAGCAGGCCAATTTCGCAAGCAGATCACAGGGTCAGGTGCCATGTTTGTGGGCTTATCATGACAGCCCCCCCCCCGACCTCTGATTGGCCAAAGGGCCCTGGTGGCTCCACCCCCTCTGCTGATTGGTGGAGGGCTGTCATATGGCCCCACCCCTTGCTGCTGATTGATGGGGGGCTGCACAACAGAAAGCCATCTCAGACAATCAGCAGAAAGGGGTGGGGACAGCAGTCATCTTGTCTGCTTGCCTTCATGCCGGCAGCCCATTTCGTGCTGGGCTGCATGGCTGGAAGAACTGCTGGCTCCCTCTGGGAAGCCAACATTTTATTTCTAGTAATGGTTTTTCCGCCCCGTAGAGTTCAGAGATGACCCGATTTTGTGATTCCCACAAAATCTGCAAAACTGTGATTTGAACAGGCCCCTATCCATAAATATGGTGACCATATTAATTTTGAAGGCAATTCAGGACAAGTGGGCACCCCGCCCTCAACACACACCTCTGTTCCCCTCCCAATCCCGTGTCTCCCAAGATCCATGATGGTGAACCAGGGTGGGGTGGACAGTATGGAGGCCCACAGCCAGGCTCCATCCTTCACATAGAGGCTGGACCCTGTGCCCCTGAGGCTCCATCAGCACATGCTGCATGACCACACAGCACCTCCCCCTGCCACCACCAGCCACCTGGGCCACCATGGGCAGCTCAGGCCTTGGCAATGGCCATAGTGGCAGGGCATGAGGGTGGCCATCCCAGCTCACCCCATGCAGATACCAGAGCCCTGCTGATTCCCACCGCAGGCTGGAGGAGTGGGGCTCAGCCCAGTCTGCCCCCTCAGCCTTTAGCCACTGCTCAAGAAGAGCTGAGCCAGGCAGCTGTGACAGTCAATTAACTGCATATTCATAAACTTCTAGCATACAATCAGGAAAGCAGCCAGTCACCGCTGTAAATCAACACACAAAATAAATACATAGTGTACAAATCTGACCATTCCACCCTCTTATTTTTAAGACACTGCCAGCTAAACTCTTAAATATTTATAAGTTATGCTTTTTTACTTACTATCCAACCTTGCTGCCCTCTCATCTATCACACATTGTTTGGTGTATGAATCTTCAATTGTTGGATCGTAATCTGTGACAAAGTAGGACTGTAGAAGAGAGACAATTTGTTTAATCATAGCCATTGCAAAAATTCACAGATTTACCATCGTTGAAGTAGTTCAGACTGAAGACTAAGGAAAAAGTTCACTATGCATTGAGATGAGAGATGTGTAGTTCCCTGAACAACCTAAAAGAAAAAAGCCTCTATATACAAAATCAGAGAAGCCAATGATGCAAAAAAGGTTAAGCATCATCTGACAAGCTGTAGTATTTGACACAGAAAAGAAATAGCATCTAAAAAGGGTCTAATATGTTGCTTGTTACATGTATTTTTTGTTGCTAATGGGATAAATATGTATTAGTCCTCTTTTGGGGAAGATTTATAGCCTGTGTAAACATTTAGTGTTGTAATAATGTGAAATTATAAACAGAGCAAGTGTTTGAGAGGCATCACAAGTACTGTACAAGCTGTTTATCTAGAAAAATTAGTTATAAAAGGATTTGAGAGAGTTATGTTACTGAACTCCTTTCAGGAAATTCTTGGCTGCTTTTGTAGTTATCCTAGGCCCATTCCCCATTGTCTTTACTTTCCATTTGTAAGCACGAGATCAAGTTCATCCCTGGTGTGACTACCTATAGACCTTTCTACTCTTCCTTCAGGTTACACAATTCAAACTAAACGGTTCTTTCTACTCAAGAATTGCTTTAGTCAATAGCTGTATCTTGACCTAAATCACCTTTTTAGGTTTCCACTCTCTTTTACACCTGGACCAAAACATTTGAGGGAGGTTAGTCATGTTTTCTTCCACAGGCATATGCAAAAAAAATCTAGAAGCATTTTAAATGGTTGTGGAAGGGAAAAGGAGGGGAGCGCCTCCATTGTCACAATCTCTAAGGTTCAGTTCCAAACACCAACCTTTACCTACATTAAAAAGTGAGGCCACCTGCCATTAAGGTTCTTGTCACTTTGATAACCAGTTTGGTACTACGTACCCAGAGTGAAGCAGAGCAGCTCAGACAGAGACAGGCTTAGTGCTAAAGAATCACTTTGTCTGGGATAGTTTGTTAACCAGCAGTCTGAGACAAATTTAGGTTTTTATTTTTAAAACTTGCAACTAACTTTCACTAAAAAAAAAAAAATAAGCAAAATGACATGCCAGTCTCCAAGCTTTGGTTAAGTTCCCTTGACACAGCCACCATCATCTTCATTTTGATTTGTGAATATTCAAAAAATGGAAGGATATTAGACACCTAGAGAGTTCAGAGTGCTTTAACACGTTTGTGCACCACTCTTGCCTCTTTGCACAAGCACAAATTTGGAAGCATGAACTCTATTCTATAGTCCAAAGGAAAGTTAATTCTTCCTGCACCGTACAACCTACACATTAGCTTTTACTTTATTAGTCTTGCTACTTAAAAGTTGAATCCAATTTCATTGTTTATTTATTTCATAAATTCAGGCACCAGAGGCAGCATGTCTTTCTTCCTAGCCCCATATATTCAAACAAAACTAATTCTGCTCGACTTCAGACTAAACACAGCTAACTAACCCTCTCAATTTTAAAGGTTGTTGTTACCAGAACCAACACTTGTTTTGGTTTTTTTAGCATGAATAAGGCCGATTCATAATTTCATTTGTATCAACATTTATTATTGCGGTCAAAATATAAATAGCAAAATACAAAAGGAATAAAATTATTCGATGGTAACAAACTTAGTTTCATTCTACAATCCAGTGTTCTGGGGTGTTTCAAGTGGAACACATCTATAGCCTTGTTTAAAGCTTTGTCCTCTTCCCTTCTAATCAATAAGAATATTAACATTAGGCAGGTGCAGCATAAGAACTTCTCACCAGAGAATCAATGCCATAATCAAGCCCATTATACCCATGTAATTTGTACCTTGCTGGTAACATGGATGTGTGGCAGGAGAGAAACTTCTAATTTCCTTGTATTTGTTCTGAGCCTACATTATTTTAATTATCCAAAAATCCCCGTTTCATTTTCAAAAGCTACAAGAGTCTTGAAAACAAAACTAGAGTAAGTCTATGACAAAAATTAATTGAGACTCAAGTTAAACACTACTTTAAAAAGTTGACCTCTGATTAATGAACAGGCAATAACGTGAAACTCAAATATTCTCATCTAAACTTTAAACAAGCCATGCAAGTTTGAAAGTAAAAGAATCTGGTCTTGGAATAGGAAAGACTAAAATGTGATGTTGTAGCAAAAGCTGTTCAACTATAGATTTAAAGTGGTATTTCTATAAAAAGAGGTTTGTGTTTCATACCAATAAGAGTAAAGTATATATTAAACATTTCAAGATCCAAAGATTACATAACTGCACTGAGATTTTTCCCACTGAAACCCATGACAATTAGAGGTTTTTGAAAGACAACTGTTTCTTAAGCAAAGTGATTGTAAAGCACTTCACGTGCTGCTTTACAAAATGCCAAATTTTGAATGAAATGCAAGGTGTGGAATCAGCTTGCTCCCCACTTGATTAGTAAATATATATTTTTTTAAATGTTGATTTTAAAAGTGTTAGAAGAAATGCCAGATTATTCCCATGCTATGAAGAAACAATCAAGTACTTTGGGGATTCCTCAGAGGGATTTTCCTTGTTCGTCTTTCAAGAGCCAAGTACAGAGAGAACTCATTGTGGAAAAATGAGACAACATGGCTCTGTTTAAAGCCTCCACTATTGCATGCGTTTGAATTTTGATTCTTCTCAAAGATAATGGGCAAACATGATTACATATTGGTTCATTTCATCTTGCACCTTTAAGTAGTGCATCAATTAATTTAGGCAGACAAGGTTCATTAGGTAAATCTGATACGTTAGACCAACTCAAACAGTTGGAAAAATTCTTCTTAGCAAGCTTCCAATTTTTTCAACTATTTGAGTTGGTCTAATAAAAGATAACAGATTTACCCCAAGAACCTTGTCTGCCTATGTCCTTAGACCAACATGGCTATAACCTACACCCCTAAATTAATTTATTTGTTCACTGTATATGCTGTCCTTCCCAACGAAATCCTATTCCCCACTTGCCTGTTACTTCACTTGTAACACAAGTAGCACAATGACAACATAAGCAATGCAGATACATACACTAGAAGTATAAATGACTGCAGAAAATCTTTTTTTCCAGAAAAACACTCTGGAAATAAAGGAAGGTGAGAGAGACTGCCTAGAAACCTTAAACAGGTCTTAAAAGCCTAAGGAGGGTGAAAGGAGAGTGCAGAACAGATTTGAGGAATTCTAATATAATAAAAGCCTTAGACTGCCCATCTGTAATGCTCCAAGCGAACGGTGCATGCGCTGCCAAGAGTGTGTGCGCCACTGCTGACTGGTTGGCAAGGGCACAGAGCATTATGGACAGAGGGGGCGAGGGAGTCATCACGCCCCCCCACTCCCCCAACAGCTGGCAGGGAGCAGGAGGTGGTGGACAGCCCAGGCAGGCTTCTGGAAGCTCAGGCTTGGTGGGCTTCCAGTGCCCGGTGCACTGTCCCCACCGCCTTCTTCAGCCACTAGCACACCCAACGGCCCTCCTGCCGCCTTCCTGCACTGCCCCAGGGTCAAGGCAGCCCATCTCCAGGCAGTCCCAGGCACCAAGGACAGTGCACAAGGTGCCAGAAGCTCCAGGGGTCAAGGGGAAAGCTGCAAAGGACCAGATCTTTCCCCCTCTTGCCCTGGTAGAACCTGCCTGGGGCCAAACTGCTGGTAGTGTCTGAGCTGCAGGGGGGGCCCTGGTCCTTCCCTTCCACAGTGGCAGTGCTGCCCAGGTAGGCTGCTAGTTCTTGCTTTTGATTGGAAAAATTGTGTGCTGCGTGTCCACAGTTAAAAGAACTAGGTACTATTCCAGTTCACCAAGTGGCTTGCAGCCCAATCAACATTAGCACTGGGCAGTGCCTAGGAACATAAGAGCATGGAGTAGGCCGGGGCAGGCAAAATATGGCCCGTGGGCCAGATCTGGCCTGCCAGGCAACTTAATCAGGCTTGCGGGTGCCCACCAACTAACTGTACCCCACCCAGCCCACATGCCCCACTCCCACTCCTGTGTGCAGAAGGGCCGGGCCCAGCCAGCACACAGCTCCTGGGTGGGGCTGCTGCTATGACTGCTGACGTCCCACGGCTCCTCCTCGTCTCCCTGCTGCAGTGCCTACACTGAACAGCAGGCAGAGAAGCAGCAGGGGGAGGGAGAGCTGCAGTGGGGCAGGAATGTGGAGCCTGTGCCTAGGGGGTTAGTGGGAGTACAGGCCTTGGGTGGGAAGGTTGGAGGGGTGTGGGGACTCCCACCTGAAAAAAAACTTCCCTCCCAAGGTGCACAGTCTCTGCTGCCGGTGCCAGCAGCACAGGCAGCAGGCACTCAGAATACTCATGGCCCACACAAGCACTGCCACAGCAGCATGCGACTCCAGCCAGCGCTGCACATGACAGCAAAGAGCACAGCCTGCCGAACCTACCTCTACTGTGCAGGGCTCCCCACAGCACATGTGCAGGTCCCAGCAGTCATACACCACTGGGAGAAGCCCTGTGCCATGGAGCCAGCTGCCTTTACTGCTCCCTCCCATTCAGGTCTCAGGACTCCACTGAGAAACAGAAGGCAGAGTCCTGGGACTTGCATGGCAGGGATTGGGGAAAGCAGCAGTCTCTGTTGCACAGGGCTTCCCCTGGTTGCGTACAAGTGCCAGGGCTGCACATGCACCACAGGCAACCCCGCATGACAGGTAGGCTGGACAGCTGCGCTCCTTGCTGCCACATGCAGCGTTGGCTAAAGTTGCGTGCTGCCAGGCGGCAGCACCTGAACAGGCCATGAATGCC